TATGTGTCTTGATGAACCATATTCATTGTAAGATTTTAAACATATGACAACAATATACATACACCCATTGAAATAATACAGGACTTCCTAAATTATAGGATTTCTTTTCTTTCTCTCTATTTATATTCTACTGAACACGCATACTCCAGGCCTTTTAATTCTAACTCGTGGTAAGAGCTGCCTTTTTCCCCCATCCTCATATTAACTGTATGCCAGTAGCATCAGAAAAGACTGAAATCATGATGCTGATAGGGCTTTGTATTTAGTATGTTCTTTAATATTTTCATCAATCTCATTAGTTAAGTATTATCATACACTGTTTACTCTATATTCCAACTTAAATTTTTAATTTGCACCTCTTACTTAACTTTTACAAAACTAAGCTCCTGATGTTTTCTCCATAAACCAGCTCTTCTGTCAATCTTTGCCATCTCAGTAAACAGTAACCACATTACTCCGTGTGATCAAGCCGAAGATCTGGAGTAAATATACAGTATTCCATGTGATCGAGCCAAAAACTAGAGTAACTATTGAACTTTTCCTTTCTCTGTCACCTCATTTCTAATCTATTAATGTCTATTTGCTCTAATTTTTGAAGTATGTCTAGAATATGACAATTTCTCACCATGCCCACTGCTGCCACAGTCACATGTCTACATTATTACATAGACTCCAAAATGGTCATATTTCTTCCCTCAACCTGTTCATGATCAAACAAACCATGTATTATTTATCATGTGTTCATCTCTCTCAGTGAGTTAAAATATAAGTTCCATGAGAGCAGAGATTTTTCTTTTTCTTTTAACTTTTCTATGGCTTTCTTCTAGATCTTAGAACAATTCCTGGCACATACTAGGTACCCAAGAATCATTCACTAAATAAAGTAAAGAATCTCAACTACATTTTCAATTTAAATATCTGTCCAAATATTTTGTTCATAGCATATATAAAATGTAGTTTGAGTACATCAAAGATTTGGGAGATCTTTTCACAGATGGGTTCAAATTTCAACTGGAACTTCATGAACACATGGGATGGACGTTTACAAGGCAAATAATGTAATGGAAGGGCATTCCAGTCAGAAGGAATATGGGACATTTCATGGTGTGCTCTAGAAAGATTGTGAATGAGGCATAAGACATGTCAACAAATGTGGCAGAAATATCTCTTGGGAAGATTTTGAATGACTTTGAATTTTGTGTTAAATATCTTGATTGTTACCTTAGACAGTATAAGAGACCATAGAAATATTTTGATTCAGCAAAATTACCTGTTACAGATATTTTAGAAAGAAAATATTTGTGAGGATGCTGTGGAAAATGCATTTTAGAAATAACACGTATGAGATTGGAAGATCCATTAGGAAACTGATCATGATTATCTATGCAGTGGAAGACAAACTGGAGCAGAAGCAATGAATAGAAGAGATTAGGAGGAAGAAGCCACAAGTATGAAGTTTTCCAAGAAGTTTGGTGGTGAATGAAAGGAGAAATGGCACAGACTGATGAGATGGTATCTGTAGAATGAAGGAGAATTGAGGATATTGTAGGCTAAGCAAAGGAACAAGTACAAACAAAGTAAGTCAAACTAAGAGGAAAAGGGGATAAACAGGAAGCAGGAAGGAGGAGCAGCTGGACTCACAAAATGTGAGAAGGAACTCAGAAGAGATACTAGAGAGTCACAGAAATGAACAAGCATGATTTTCTGGTTTCCATGCTCTTAGAAATTAAAAGCGATGAGTAAGAGATGAAACTGTTACTGCTAAAGTAACCAAGTAGCCCTGATGGCCTGGGGAAATTAAAGTGTTTACTTCAATATCCACCAAGTGTCAGGCCAACCTAAGTGGCAGATTTGCAGTGATGAAAAGCCAGATTTCTTCTCCAGAGGACAAAGTTATTTAAATAGTTCCATAAAATATAAGATGGTTGCTAGACAGTAGTAAAGGAGCCATGAAAATCAGAAACAGATTAAAATATAGCAGTTAAGTGAAACATAATCTCATGGAGAAACAGCTTTAAGCTGTTAAATACCATGTGTAGTAATTGGTCTTCTTTAGTCTTAAAAATGTAATCACATGTGGTAAATTTCACAAAGATTTCTACACAAAATTACTAGGAATTTCAACATCTTGATGCTTAAACATTAATGCTTTAGCTAACCAGAAGACTTGGTTTTTCCATATAATTCATTTGCCAATAAATATATGAACCTAGAAACTAGTATTTTCTCCAGAGAGCTCAAGTTGGCTGCACTTGAGCAGAATCCAGCTGTGCTTGTGTTCTGTCCGGAGACACAATATTTTTAAACAGTTTTAATTCATTGACAATCAATATACAGAAATGTTCCACACAAATTATGAAACATTTAGCTTATCTAAAACAATGGAAGATGTGGCATAGATATTACATGTCAAAATTGAATGGAGCTGAGTCCCAGCTTTCCCCTTCACACCAGGCCTGCCCTTTCAGCAAGGCCATGGTCCCCACAACCTTACTTGCCTTAAACCTCTACCTACTTTAGGCTCTTATATTACCTGCCTGGTTGCTACAGCCACTTCATTTCGTGACTTCTGAAAAAGTAGGTGCCATATAGATACCAATTCATTTTGCACAAATTATTGCTAATCATTACAATTTTATAAATTAGATTAAATATGATTATTATTATTTTGCAGATTCAGAAACTACTGAGAGAAGAAAGGAAATGCTTATGAAAGTTACCTCGAGTTAGCAGGAGAGCCGAGTTTCCCATTATATCACACAGACTTGCCTATGATAACCATATATTTAATGCTGGCAGACTATAAGCAATGAAGATGGGAAATATATATTTTTACGTATTACTGACATTTTAATTAACATATCCAAAATGTTATTTTAGATATTTACTTAAGATGTTTTAGACTGGAAGACACACTGAGGTGCCTCTAGGAAAAAAATAGAAACTTATCCTGAACTACATTAAGTTTGTGACACAGGTGAGTCGCACAAACGTGAAATGTAGACGATCGCTATACATTATAACATCCTCATTTCCTGTTATCATGTTCTAAATCAACCTGAGTGCAAGCACTCCTTGGAATCTATGGTACAAAAATTGGATGGAAAAGCAATTTCTAATCATCATGACTTCTTAGAATTCAAATCCTTTTTGGGTATTTTAAACCACAAAATTACCATCTCACGGAGGAACAGGGTTTAAATAGTGCTGCGATAATTTGTCTCAGATCTCCCACTGCCTGCACTTTCTTGTCTTCCATTTAGGAAACAGGGTAATGTTTTCATTTATTCTTTTGTTATTCTATATGCCTTGTAATATTGTAAAACCTAATAACATTGTTCTAAAAAATATTTTTAAAGAAACTAATGTCAGTGTACCTTAAGAGGCTTTGAAAAATTGTTTTATAACTAATGTAAGCTACTGCTTTATTTTCTTTTCAGTGCTTCTGGATACAATTAACATAGAGACACTGATAACTTTATTATACTGCTCTATTTTATGATGAAGTGCCAAAGTCTTATTTTAAGGACAAGTTCATCATAACGAGGTTTTTGGACATGCAGGGCAATGCATATTTGATGTGTGGCCTCCTGGATCACTTTCTTCATCTGTTAATCAGACACATTAACCTAACATAATTGTTCTGGAGACTAGAGATAATATTTACAACACACCCAGCACACAGTCTCTGGCACATAGTGGGTGCTTAGTAACTGCAACTGTCTGTATTTCTCATGTATCAACATGCTAAAAGCATTTCTTTAACTCTCAGTTAACATTTGTCCATGTTCCAATATTTTATCCATGGAAAATAAAATGTATAAGTAAAATTGAGGTAAGGCACTATGTATAGTAAATTTATTTCAGATTTTGAGGCAGTAATATGTTTATAATCTTATTTAAAAACATTGTCATTGTGAAATGCTTCTAAAATTAATACCATACACATCATCCTGTAAGAGGAAACATACGTCTGAGAATTTTAGTAGGAATGAGAAATTAAAAACAAAATTAGGTAATGCAAATCTTAAGACAGAGAATAATGCCTGTATGTACACATTCTCTAGATGTGCATAGATATGGACCACCAGCAAATTTAACACTGTTTGAGTAAAATAAAATCTTGCCCTTTAAAAGTAATTAATTTGTTTGTAGAGCCAGAGAGTAAAACACTGTTATATATCAAAAGTGCATTAGAATAACTTTATTTCACTTTTCAGTTCTCTGTTTAACCACAGGAAAGGTTGAGTTGATATGTGGTCAGAAAACCTCGTGGACTTATGTGCAGTCACAGCACTAGAGATTGGGCTGGAAGGGATCTTAGAAATCAAGGATCCTTCATCAAGTGCCTCTTATGCTAGATATCTGAAATGAAGGACAGTGGTGTTCAGTGACTTGCTCAAGTTTCAGCAGCCAGTCCCTGGTCAAGCTGGGACCAGCAGGCCTGTTGGCCCTCACACAGTATTACTTCTACCTGCTACTTCTCTTTATGAGGGAGCCAGACTGCATGTTGTGGCAGCTCAACTGAAATGTGTTTAAAAATTAGTTCCTCTTGTATTTTGCATTTCAGACAGCCATTCTTCACAATATTGAGGAAGAGTTGTAAATAATGATACCTAATAGATTATAGTTATTTTTTTCATCAGTGTCTGGAATAGTACATGGCATGTGATTGTAAACATTCATTGAATAACTAAGTGAATAAATAAATTAACCAATTATACACAAGGCCAAGAATCCTACTAACTTGCTATATCAGAAAGGAACTTCTACATTTTAGAAACCAAGATTTACATTATGTTCTGTTCATAAAATTTCTCTATTTAAAGAGCTTGTCATATTCATAACCACGTGTTTCTCAATGAATTTGAGTTTATCAGTCTTCATGCTTCTTTCCCAACTATCTGGAACAAAGATAAATTCATACATAATTAATGAGGAAATATGCATTTTAAGGAGAGTAAAACCATTACTGATTTGCTGCATATCTATTTCACAGGACTAATAACCATGAAGTTCTTCATTTTTACCTGTCTTTTGGCTGTTGCTCTTGCAAAGCATGTAAGTATAATGAGTTTATGAGTTATGTTATTGTTATTTAAATGTAAGAAGCATAAATCTTTTATGCAGACAGTGGCAGGGATAGGCAGCAAGGAATAGAGACTAGTGTGTGAGCTTTAAAACCTATAATCAAAGATAGCATTGGCCCGGCCTCCACAAGATAGCAAGATGGACAAAAATATTTTTGCTAAAGTATTCTCTTTGTAGGGTTGGGAGTTTTTAGTTATAAGTTAAAAGGCATACACTTCCTTCCATATATATTTGAATTTACTGGGAAAATATTTTCACTCCAAGAAGAATTTCCAAAAGGTAAGAAATATATTATGCCGTAAAAAGGATATCTTTGAAAGTGCAGGAAAGCCACAGATAAAATGTAAATTCCAAAACCATCTCTTAAGCAAGTGTCAGAATTTCATCATTCTTGATTACATAGTTCTGAATCCGTGATGTTTAGACAGGAAACAGAGATGTGTTGAAAAGCGGTAACTTTGAAAATTGCTTGCCAAATAACCTAATGCAAAATAGTCCCTTAGCTTCTCAAAGCATCATATTCTTATAGTTAGAATGTGGTAATAATATTCATATCATCAAATGATAAGGATGGACTAGATACTTCACGTGAAGTGCTCTGAAAACACACACACAAAAACAAATGTATGTAATCTATTAATTTCCTCAGGAGTAACTCTCAGATTTTTTCCTTACCCTGCAGCCCACACCACCAATCCCTCTCCCGTACCCAACATCGCACTTCCCACAAGTGCACCGGATCCTCAGCGTGATCAGCCTTCTCTGCTTCTGTGTTTCCATATCTCACACATAGATCTTGAAAAGTTTTTGTTATTTTTTAAAGTTAGAGCCAATGTAAGAGCATAGCGAGGGTAAGAGCTCCATTTAGGTAAATAGAAAAAAAAAAAAAAAAAGAATGCTTTGATGATGAATCTTACGCCAAACTTGACTATTTCTTCTGTTTATAATCCACTAGTCTGAACCGCCTTTCTCCTTTCTCTCTAAATTAGTAATTGTCATCAATCGTTCCTTTAAAGTTAGTTAAATCTAACAATTAACATGAACAACATGAAATATAATATCATGGTATTACAACATTTTAAGATTCTGTAGCACACCTACAGGTATATTCTATTATATTTTGAATTGTGACTGGATTGATACTTAAAAACTGAGAACACAACCACTTCCTAAAAGTGAGAAATATATTGTCATAACAAGGATTTATTTGAAGTATAGGATGATTTGCTTATCTATATTATAGGAAACATTCACCTAAACCCTAAATATTCCCAGAAACAAATTTCTAAGTCTCTTCCCACCAAAACAGCAACAACAACAACAGTGAGGCCACTTGGCATTTTAAATAAACCATAAAACTGAAACTTGCATTTGTTTTTGTTTTTTATATAGAATATGGAGCATCGCTCCTCCAGCGAGGTAAGACATTATTATAAACATAAAATCCTTTCATCTAGTAAAAGCATAATAGCCCCAGAACTAATAATTTTTTCACCAGTAAGTCTAGAGCTATAGAGTTGGAGAAAATTGGGAATGCTGCCATAAAGAAATATATATGGAGGAGTAAAGACCAAAAATTTATGCATTCGAATATGAAGACTACATTTGTGCTTTTTTTTTCCTAAAGTCCTCTCAATAGTAATGATATTAGCTCAGAAGTCATGATGAACATTCTATCTTGTGAGGAGAGTGGCAGGAATCCATTTTACATTTCTGCAATCAAGACTCATGCTTTTCTGGATCCATATTCAATGCTAATTTCCAAATGACTTCCTGGCCATGGGTGCATAACAGGTGCCCAAAGACATCTTCAGTGTCACATAAGAATTTTCTTCTTTTCCTGTGATATATTTCATCTCTCTCTTTTTTTTTCTTTTTTTTTTTTTTTTTTTTGCTGAGGAAGATTTGCCCTGAGCTAACACCTGTGCCAATCTGCCTCTATCTTCTAAGTCGGTTGCCATCACAGCATAGCTGCTGACTGACAAGTGGTGTAGGTTCACCCTGTGGAACCGAACCTAGGCCATTGAAGTGAAGTATGCTGAACTTAACCACTAGACAACAGGGCCAGCCCCTCATCTCTTTAAAAGAGACAAAAACATAAATAAGAAGAAGAAGAAAAATTGAAGGAAATTGGAAATTGTATGGAGAAAGTAGACAATCTTCTTTTTCTTCTCTGTGGATGATATTTGGGGAAACTTGATTCAGTTATTCATAACCCAAAGCACACTGTAGAATGAGTTCATTATCTGGAAGAGAATATGTTAATTATGTAGAGGGAGTGAAACTTTGGTCAACTTTGTTCTGTAACTCAGGCAAAGATTAAATGTTATGTACCCAAGAATAATAGTTGTAGATTGATACTTCATTGCTAGTATGAATACAATTTAAGTAAATAAGTTATATTGTTTTCCTTTTTTCTAAGGACTCTGTCAACATCTCCCAGGAAGTAAGTCCTAACTTTTTAAATTACATATATTTTAACTTTTTTATTTAATCAAGGTTATAAAATATATTTATTTATTTTATAGAAATTTAAGCAGGAAAAGTATGTGGTCATTCCTACCAGTAAGGTAAAGTTTAATTATTTGAATTATTAATCTTTCATTAATGAGATATCTTTTCCTATCAAACATGGGTCATTTTCTCATTCACCCAAAAATGAGCATTACTTTTAACTATGATTATGAAAATGACAATGCTTTCATTGCTTTACCAAAATACTATGGACTAATCATGAAGTGGATCCTAGGAAAAGATTTGTGAGCCATTTGTGAGTCACATTATTAAATCAGAATGTCTTTGAAAGAATTTTTTGCTAATGGTCCATCACTTTACTTGTCTTCCCCTATTCTGTAATCTTTTGGCCACAAAATTGTATTTTCTTTGCTATCACTTTGTGCCTAAAAATGTTATACTGCCTTTCAGTAAATGCTATATCCCTGTTGGTTTTGTTTTCTTTTAGGAGAGTATTTGTTCCACATCCTGTGAGGTATATATTTATTTCTAATCTATAGAACAATATGAAGTAAAAATATTATAGCACTTTGAACCAAATTGAAATTAACTTGGATTTGGAAAATATATTCCAATTCAGTCAAATTTGAAAACGAAGATTGTTTTAAAAGAATTAGACCAAAATTACATCCTTTCATAAAAATTGTATGAATAATTCATTGAAGAAAATAGATTTTTGCATGAATCAATTCCCAGAGTTTATGAGGAATCAAGAGCTTGTCTTTTAGTGGTTTGCTTTCTTAAAAGCCCCAAACCTAACATTTTCTTTTTTAAAATTCTTTTCCTATTGCAATATTTTTCTTGAAATTGACTCATCTAAACTTAAATCAATTTGTTTATCATATAAACAATATATATTTACTACCAAAAGCACATTAGTTGGCCTATTGATATATTTTTCCTAATACAGTAAACAGAATAAACAATGATTAAAATAAAAAAACAAACTTATCCATGCATTGCCTAAATTAATCCTGTGTATTCATTCATTCCTTTGCCAAACATTTATTGAACAAAACCTGTATTCCAAGTACTATCTCAATCTCTAGGGATGCAATAATTAACATAACCATCTCTGGGGATACAATAATAGATGGAATAAGCAATGACAATAAATACCACTGGTTGCATGTTTATCATCAAGTGGGAAATTCTAATATAATTCATACAAAACTCATACAATGAAGGGCCAGCTTGGAGGCGTAGTGGTTAAGTACATATGCTTTCCTTTGGCAGGCCAGGGTTTGTGGGTTTGGATCCTGGGCACGGACCTATGCCCCATTATCAAGCCATGCTGAGACAGCATCCCACATATAAAATACAGGAAGATTGGCATAGATGTTAGCCCAGCGACAATCCTCCTCAAGCAAAAAGAGGAAGATTGACAACAGATGTTAGCTCAGGGCCAATCCTTATGACCAAAAAAAAAAAAAAAAAAGGACCCACACAACTCATACAATGAAAATGAATCCATTCTAATGCTTCTCTTTATGGAATAGAGATTTTTGCTTTGTACTCAGAGGGAAATATTTTATAAACAGTACTGTGGAGGTAGTAAATCTAATTCTTTTTCTTCTCTCTTTAAGGAAGCCACAAGGAACATAAATGAAATGGTAAGAATATTTTATTTATTTGAACAATTTTTGATATATATTGCCAATATGTAACATAATATTAATGGCATCTGTAAATTTCCTTTTTTAATAAACTGGAAAGAGATTTATAAGTTGTTTAAAAATGACAGTTTTTCCCTGTCCCCTTTAGTCATATCTGCCTAAATTGGTTCATATTTGATATTGTACAAATAATGTAGAATTGATGAAAATTTTGAAATGAAACATTTTGAGTCGTGTTATTACTTTGACACAGAATGAGGGCTCTGATGATAAATATTTTAATTTAATGAATTCCTAATAAATGATATAATTTCTGAGGAGTAGTGGCATAGGCCCCAAACATTCAATTATTTGACCCTATTTATGTAGTACAACTTTAAGGCTAAATCATGCAAGTTAAGTTAACTCTCCTTTTCTTCCCATAAGGAATCTGCTAAATTTCCCACAGAGGTAAGTAATTTTAATTCACATAAAATGAAATGCTCTGGAGATTCTTCCATTTAATTATAAGATCATTTTCATCTCTTCCAATTGTTTTCCAAAGGTAATTAATAATGAACAACAAAGAAACCTGCTTATATTACTTTTATTTCAATTCTTTTAACTTATCATATTAATGATTATGTAGGTAATATGAGACATAGCCCAAATAATCACTAACATTCAAGAATAATGCTGAGGATTTCTTCTGGTCACCAGATTTTGATTATATTTATTATTATTTTTCAAGGTATATTCTAGCAGCTCATCTAGTGAGGTAAGAGACCTCTTCTTTTAACATCAAATAGCAAGTTCATCAAGAAATAGCAGATTTCCAGCAAAGGGTGCATTAATTTGTCATTAAAGTCACAAATAGGGTAAGCATTAGAGAAATCATTTGCCCAAACTTAATGTCATTTGGGGGAGATTGAAACTGACCATGTACACCATGGTGTACACATGGTGCTGACTGTGCATATCTGACTCCAGAGGAAAATGCATTTTAAAGCAAGTTAACGTTAAATCAAGGGCCTACCATTTGCCTTTGACATAGTTCTGTCCTGAAAAACCTCTCCATATTGCTTAGGGGGGCAGCGGTTCTCACAATGTTTCCCCTCACCTGCGGCCTCAGCATCATCTGGGCATTCAGATGCAGTTTAAAATGTGAGAACCTCTCGTTTCAGGGGAGGTGAGCAAGGGAATGGACAAAGGTGTGTAGGTCACTGGTACAAGAATCACCTGCTGTCATAGAAATTTCCTGTCAATAAGCATGACAGGAAAATGTGCCTGGGGAAAAAAAGCATAGCTGATGCCCTAAGCCTTGTGGCCTGAGGCACAGCCTGAAGTCTTCCTGCTCCACGTCTAGGAAGCAGGCTTTACTCTTTCTCTAAACTGCAACTCTCTCAGAGAGCCAAGGGCCACTGATAAATAACAATTGTGTCCTCTAGAAAGAGTATGCAGGATGTAGGTTACCATGCACCTTACCAAGCCTACTTTGTAATTTTTTTGTCACTTGTCTACACTCTGTAGGCATTTGATATTGTACAAATAATGTAGAATTGATGAAAATTTTGAAATGAAACATTTTGAGTCGTGTTATTGCTTTGACACAGAATGAGGGCTCTGATGATAAATATTTTAATTTAATGAATTCCTAATAAATGATATAATTTCTGAGGAGTAGTGGCATAGGCCCCAAACATTCAATTATTTGACCCTATTTATGTAGTACAACTTTAAGGCTAAATCATGCAAGTTAAGTTAACTCTCCTTTTCTTCCCATAAGGAATCTGCTAAATTTCCCACAGAGGTAAGTAATTTTAATTCACATAAAATGAAATTAATATCATCTATCAGTGTTTTCTCTTTGCCTATTTTTATAGCAAGTGCTCTGTTTTCTAAACAGAGAGAAGAAAAGGAAGTGGAAGAAAAGCACCACCTAAAACAACTGGTAAACTTCTCATACAAATTTCCGTTCCAAGTAAACCATCATATCATGGCTGTTTCTTCTCCTAAATGCGCACATAATGCATTCTATCCCAATGAGATATTTACCCTCAAATTTACAGAAATATAATTTTTCTATTTTGTTACTTTAATTTCCATCTTATCAAATTTGTGGATTTACATTTTTTTTAAAAAAATGAGTGTTGAGCAATTATCCAGCTTATTTTGAAAGAGTTACAAACCTCAGATTTGTTTCAAGTTTAAATGATGTGAGTTTGATACCGACATAATTGAAGTATCATGTTAACGCCCACTCAACTTCTTTTTGACAATGGCATCATAGACAGATATCTCAAGAGCAAAGGTGCAAGCCATGCAGAATTATATTAGACAGTATGTACACAAATTATGTGAAAAATGCTTGGAATACAGAAATAGATGCATCTACAAAAGGTGACAATTATTATGATCATATCCCTACACACAGCAGACATTCATTTTAAAACTTTTATAACAGAAACAGCCTCTCTGAGCACTTAAAAATAGAAACTTCTTAATAAAATCTCTCTTTTTAGGAAATTCTAATTGCTATAAAGGTTGTTCTTATACTTTGTCAAATGCTTCCAGTAGCATTCTCCCTCTGTACTACTCTTAATGTAAGTATGGATTCATCCAATAATTATTCCAAGGCAATTCTAAAGACCAAGTGACATTCTATATATCCATTTATTTTCAATCTCTATGGTATAAAAATTCTCCTTAGGAAAGATGCCATTGTGATTTCATATTTAATCTGTTAAAAAAAATTTAGAGTTTGATCAAAGGCTCCAGAATTTACTAGAATATTTTTTAGCCTGATATATAGATATATAGATGATAGATAGATGGCTAGATAGATAATTAGAGATATATAGATAAATATAACAGGCACTATGCAAACTACTCTGTCTATTGTCACAGATATAATCCTACATGGTGAGTAACGCTCAGAGAGATTAAGCAATCTGATCAGGGTCAAGGATTCCAGCACCCAGGATCAAGCGAATTAAAGTTCAGTTCTATCCAACTCCAAAGACCAGACTTCTCACACATGTGGAAAAGAAATGACAGACATTTACCTTGTAATTCAAGAAATTTTCCTTTTCCTTTTTATACATACTTTTGTTTTTTCACATAGGTATTGTTCTGGAGGCTTCAATTAATCATATAATTTCTTTAATTCTGCAATTTACTATAAATGTAGACAGACAGTAAACTTTATGTGCTCAGACTATTCTTTTGTTAAGTAAATTAGCCATCATTTATAAACTATCTAATTAAATAAAGTTCTAAGTAATTTAGCTCTCCAAGATCTTCTTGCCCCTGGAGGAGATTCAATGTTGGAGCAAAGATTGATAATTTCTTTTCTTTCTAGAACAAAATCAACCAGTTTTATGAGAAGTTGAACTTCCTCCAATATCTCCAGGCCCTTCGTCAACCTCGGATTGTCCTGACCCCATGGGATCAGACTAAGACAGGGGACTCCCCCTTTATTCCTATTGTGGTGAGCGCTGCTTTTTGTTGTTTGTGGTTTTGCTTTTGGTTCTGTTTTTCTTCTTTGTTTTTGGGGAGGGATGAGCTAAGGATAAAGATATGTAAAATAGCTAGAGACAAAATGCCCAACAAGTTCTAACTTAGAAAGTAGAACAATTGTAAAGAAAATCTTATAGTCCAGAAATTAAATCATAAACAATATAGTCCAGATATAGTAATAAATGAAAGTAACAATAATGACAAATAAGTAATTTCATTTAAATTTAACATATGTGTCCTAAATGTCGCTCATATTTTATTTTGCTTGGTTCTTCCAACAATTCTCTAATGCAGGAGGGGATAGAAATCATTATCTTCATGTAACGAAAAGACTGTAATGTAAGAAAATGCAAGGAAGTGAAGTAACTCACACGACTTCCAAGTTCTTTCTTCCAGTTTGTTTCACGAAACAGTTTTGTCTTAGGGAAATTTTTCTTATATGAGGAATAAATAACAAAAGTCCTCTTGTCTTGGCCTTTTTTTTTTTTTTCTGGGATACAGAACACAGAACAGCTCTTCACCAGTGAGGTAAGGCATTTTACTACAAACACAGTATCTCAGTAACTAGCAAGATATTATACACTTATTATGCATTGTACTAGAGTCTTTGAACTCTTTTTCTAAGCAATAATTCTCAATTTACAAAATATGGTAGAATTGGAACTTCAGGTCTCTCAGAAAAATTTGTGGATGGCAGAACAGAAATGCACACATCCAAGGATGTAAAGATTAGATTTGTGCTAGTGGACTTTACCAAAAATTTTAATACTGCTTTTTTTTAAAGTCACCCATTAATATTGCTATCACACCAGAAGACGTGTACATCTTAAATTTTGTAAACAGAGTGGGAAGAATCCAGTGTATCATTCTGGAATAAGGACTCTAGTTCACTCAGATCCATACAAAGTGCTATTGTTCCAATGACTCCCTGCACGCATATCACAAAATACTAAAAACATTTTCGCATCACCTAAAAAAAATTCTCATTTTATTCCTACTTACTTCATCTCTGAGAATGAGTAAAAGTCTAAAAAAGAAAAGAAAAGAAAAATGGCAATTTTATAAATAGGATTAAAATGTATCATTTCAATTTCTTTTAAGGACTCTACCAGCTTCTCTCAGGAAGCAAAAACATTTATATAACTATATTTAAGAAATTACTTTTTATTTTTTTATGGCTATACAATAAACATTACTTATTTTGTATAAATATAAGCAAGAAAAGGATGTAGTCACGCATACCAGTCAGATGAAATTTATCTTTTTATTGGTTCCCTGATGAGCTATGTCATTCATCACTCATTTAAGAAACACATATTTAGCAAGTACTATGTCCCTTCCATGCTCCTGGATCTTGAGGATACAACAGCGATTAAAAGCAGCAATAAAAATAAATTCAATTTTGTTCTTCTATAGAAAAGGGGTTTTTCTGTATACATTCAAGAGGAAATTATGTATAACCAATATAGTGAGAATGAAGTGTCTAATTCTTCTTTTATTTCTTTAAGGAAATCCCAAAGAAGACTGTTGATATGGTAAAGTATTGCTTCTATAAAAAGCTATATTTAATTAATATTTTCAAAAACTAATATTAAAATATTAATAGTAGGCACATCGGAAATACTCTTAACATGAGTGATATTTTTAAGTTACTTAAAAATACGTCTCTCTACCTCTTAACTTTATTTCTCTCACTTGTCCTGAATTCTTTCAATTAAGTCCTTCCATGTAAGCAAGACCCTTCCAAGTAGCATAAGTTTTATATGATTTCCACTGTGTTTTTCTTTTTCAAAAAATCAGATTTTTACTCCTTTTGGAACTTGAAATTTTACTGCAATCTTTCTTTTTCTCCTGTGGCCACTAATAAAAAACAGGTGTTCCCAGAAAAGTCATGCAGGCTTTGCCACATACCTCAGCTGATCTGATTAGCTTTTCTTTCTTCTCTCTCCCTCACTCATTCTATCTTTCTATTTTTTGCATGTGCCTATACTCCACAAGAATTTGTACAATATAGATAAACGAAAATTTTCAAATAAAACATATTTGCAGTAAAGTACCATTATCTTAACACAGAGAATGCTCTGATAATGAATATTTAAACTCATTTAATTCATAATAAATTCCTATAAAGCAGCACTTTGTTTCTTGGAAGCAGTGGCTTGGCCCTGATTTATTAAAACAATTAGCCCTAGTTGTCTGCTATAACGACTTAGACAAAATTACTGGTGGGCTATCCAAGTAAAGCCGATTCTCATTTTCTTTCCCCAAGGAATCAACTGAGGTAGTCACTGAGGTAAGTAATTTTCATTCAAACAAAATTAATTAAATATCATCCCATAATATTTTCTTTTATATTTATCATGCTTTGCTTTTGTTGTTAACAGAAAACTGAGCTGACTGAAGAAGAAAAGAATTACCTAAAACTTCTGGTAAATTTTCCATAGAGGCGTTCATAACACAACCAGACTCCTCTTAGACACTGCTGAATTGCAGTCTTCTCAATCTCAATAACAAAAAAACCTTTTTATAAGTTCTCATTTTCACAAACGTCTTCCTTATACTCTGTCAGACTGTTCCGAAAACATTCTCCCATTGTACCAATTGTATCATCGCCATATATCCACCAAACCATTATTCCCCAGTTATTCTAAAAACCCATTGATTATCCATTTTGTGAAAACAGGAAAACTATTCTGAAAGCAGATGCCACTGTACTTAATTCCAATTTTAATCCCTACAATAACCTATAGTCAGGTCCATATAAATGCTTCAAAATGCAACACAGAGGTGATAAATATTTATTAATCACAAAATAGATGACGTATTATGCAAAGTGCTCTCTCTCAATTCATTTACTTCTGAAAAGTAAGTGACATTCAAAGAGATTAACAATTGACTCAGTGTCACAGATTCTACTAAATTAAAATCACACATTGTCTATGACTCTAAGAACCAGGGTTTTTCTACCAGACATGGAAAAGAAAATAAAATTGAGACATTTATCTTAGTAAATTAAGAAATTATCATTATCTTGCCTTCTGACACATCCTTTCTCTTTTTTTTCTTTTTTACTTAAGCATTTTGGCCATGGGGTCTGAATTAATCAAAGAATTTTCTCAGTTCTACGGTTCATTCTATGAATGTAAATATAGAAATAATTTTGTATGAATGAACTTTCCTTTGATTAGGTCAGCTTAGTATCATTTAGAATTTATCTAAATAAATAAAGTTTTAGTTTATTTGGTTATGTTCTGTGTGCTCTGACACATGGGATATTGGGATAATTACCTATAATTTTTTTCTAAAACAAAATCAACCAGTATTATGAGAAGTTCACCTTGCCGCAATATTTCAAGATTGTTCGTCAACACCAGACAACTATGGATCCACGGAGTCACAGAAAGACAAATTCTTACCAAATTATCCCTGTTCTGGTGAGTTCTCCTTTTTTACTTTGAATTTAAAAAGAAAATAGAGTTGTCACTTGTCATAAAAGTAAGCTAAGGAAATGAAATAAAGAAATAAAATTCCAACAAGTTCTCAAGTAGAAACTAAAACAAAATTAAATAAAAATTTCTAGGCTGGAAATTAAATTATAAATCATATAGTGCAAATACAACTACAATAATCAAAAATAATTATATTGATAAATTGGATTTACATTGGACTTAAATTTCTCAAGTGTTTGTTTATAATATTTAAGTTTATTCCTAACCTAAATGCCTAAGAATTTAAGTAATTCTTAGAGATAGGTCAAGATAGAGAATATTATTTCCATTTTATGAAAGTGTCTGAAATTCTAAAACGTAGTTAGACCAAGCTCTAGTTAACATTTCTCCTTTATTCGATTAAAAAAAAAAGTGTCTTAGGAAAAAACATTTTTTTTAACATGAGAAATAAATAAGAGAGCAGGAAATTGAACACAGAGAACAGACAATTTAATATAAACAAGATAGAATTTGGAACCACAAGATCTGACATAAGTAAGCTTTTGATTTTAAATAAGTCACTCCATTTCTCAGCATAATTTTTTAATATGGTTTAGTTTTTTAGATATACAGATAGCATTTAAAGATATCTTCCCTATTATTAGAAAAGATAAGAATTTAGTATCTGCAGTTTGAATATGAGATGCCTAAAATATGTTCTAAATATTTCCATGGAGGTGTAAATATTGTCTTTGTTTGTTTATTATAGACATTTAGCTAAAATATATCATTTCTTTCTCTTTTAAAGAGGTACTTCTAAGATTCTTGAATTAACTGCTTCTACTGAATTTTGGTAAGTGTGTTTAGGCCTAGAACTTAAGCTATAATTTAAGTAGGATTTTTATGTGAACGCGACTTTAATGTTGTTAAGTAATGTGGTTAAATAATGTTGTTAAGCGCCGTGGCTGAGTAATTAAGTTCGCGCGCTCCACCTCAGCGGCCCAGGGTTTCGCTGGTTCTGATCCTGGGGACGGACGTGGCACCACTCACCAGACCATGCTGGGGCAGCGGTCCACGTAGCACAACCAGAGGCACTCACAACTAGAATATACAACTATGTACTGGGGGGCTTTGGGGAGAAGAAACAAAAAAAGATTGGCAACAGTTAGCTCAGGTGCCAATCTTTAAATAAATTTTTTAACAAATCATATTTTGGCTTATGAAATATTACCTGTGTAATTTGCATCCATGTGTTTTATAAGTATTTTGAAAATAAATTATAAGAAATTTTCTCTATAGCTGATGATAGCAGAAGCAATGGCTCTGGGAAGAAATCAACACTAACATAGTGTTCACAGAGATGTTTACCTGTCTGTCACCTTTGAGTTGAGCCGAGAAGTTCAGACTCAGCATTTTGGTTTGGTGGAAGATATATCATATCAAGAGAGTTTGCTACATAAGCCAAGCTATTTTAAAACAAATTCTCTGGAAAAACCATCATTTTTTCTTTTTAATACACAAAACCTACTTCCCTAGTTTCTCTCTGACATTTTAACCATTGCTTTAAAGCCATGATGGAGACACAAAGAAACTAACACACATCCGTGTTGTTTTTTGTGTGGTCACCTTTTATTTTTTTTATATTTTCTTTATAGTATATAGGTTATCTCCTATCTTGGGATTCCATCTCACTCAATTTATTTTCTTGTTCTTTCACTATGTCCTACAACAGGACAAAGCAGTTTTCAGAGAAATAAGTAGTAACAGTAATAACAAGAATTTATTGAGGCCTTACAGTGTGCTAGTCACAATTCTAAAGACTTTGACTATATTAACTAATTGTGTGTTCACAGAAAAACCTGTGAAGTAGTTAATATTATCAGCTGAATTTGTGAGAAGGAGACTGAGACCCAGGGAGATTAAATAATTTTTTTGTGATCACCTGCAAAAATGGAAAAGCCAATGAGCCGGCCCAGTGGTGTGATGGTTAAGTTCACGCTCTCTACTTAGGGGCTTGGAGTTCACAGTTTCAGATCCCAGATGCAGACCTACACACCACTCATCAAGCCATGCTGTGGTGGCATCCCACATACAAAATAGAGGAAAATTGGCACAGCTGTTAGCACAGGGCCACTCTTCCTCAAGCAAAAAGAGGAAGATTGGCTATAGATGTTAGCTCGGGGCCAATCTTCCTCACAAAAAAAAAAAGAGAGAGAGAGAGAGAGAAAAGCCAAGAATCTAATACAGATTTCTGGCCCTGGAGCTCCAGCACTCCATTACTGATGCCAAACCACACCCAAAGTCCAGCTAGACGATTTTTTGAAAGAATGTTTTTTAACTTTAGGTACATTATCACAAACTTGATTTGCTTTGTCATGTCACTTCAGCCTTCCTAATGATGAAAAAGCGTCAGATAACTTCACAAAATAATCTTATGTGAGAAAAATAAAAGTGTAACTACTATGTATAAGAGCTAAAAATACACTTGTATTTTATAGATAAGAATAGTCCCTTTGCTATCATTATTTATTTATTTATTCTACTTGCTTCAAAAGCTGATCACGTGTCCCATAGTGTGAGAGACCGAAATAAGATACCGAACTTATCCTCATTAAGCTGTTCTAGACAAGGACACAGAAATGGCTGACTGCTCAGTTAGAGCCATGAGAACATATGGTAGTACAAGGTCAAGTGAGGCATCACACTTAAGTCCTAAACTGAGTCTTTTCCGATAATTAGAAATAGACTAAGCGAAGTAATAGCAGAGAAAAAAGTAAGGCACCAGGTATTGAGTTGACAGAAAAACTACAAAAGAAATTAAAAAATATACAATAGGTTTCGAAGAATTTAATAATTTTAAGGTGATTTCTTAAAATATTAGCTCAAATTTTGCATAATAAAATTATTTTACTAAAATCTGATTTCAGTTAGATCAAAAGGTTTAAAATGTAAGAATCAGTAATATTTTGTATGTCTAATAAACTATTTAGAAAAGAAGAATAAATGTTCCTTCAAAACTGGCTGAAAATGTAAATACTTACCATTTAATAAATAAATATAAATATTACTTTTGTACGCTGGATTGAAGAGCTTGACTATTAACTTTCAGTAACTCGTTAATCGTTCAACAAATAGTTATTAATATCCTACTATGTGCTAAGTATCATGCGGGGCACTAGAAAATATTAACTAATAGTAGTTATAAATAATAACATTCTACCAGACTAGGATGGATGTGTGTGTGTATGTATATGTGTGTGTGCTGTATACATACATTATCTTCTGGAATATGTGTAATAAATAATACAATATTATCTTTTTCTTTTTAGGTTTGACTGGAAAATCTATCTTCTACAGTTTCTTATCTACCATATTATTACATATCACCAGCATGTTTGGAGATGCCTATGAACAAGGCCGAAGCATCAAGCCAAATGAAGACTGTGCAGAATATTTTCCGAATTGTTTCTACTCTTCCTGTTAGTTCATATTGAATACGCTGGGTCTGTATCATGGTTTCATACAAACTGGGCTGATGATTATTTAAGATGTTTTCACCACTCTTTCTGAGTTAGAGAACCACATTTCTTTTCCCCAAAATAAAATTTCAAATGCATTATTTGGTGTGTAATCATCATTTCCATCATTCATACTGGCCCACTAGGCAACTGATGATAATGTAAATAGTCCTTTAACAATTAACTTTAAACCAGGTTGGCTACCAATGAAATAACTGTACACTTTCTGGGCACTTCAATTTTACTTCTCTTAACGGATAACTTTGAATACTGCAAATTATATTCTCCAATCACAGCTGGGTTCACAGTACTGTTCAGCCATCATTCCACCATCTCTCTGATTTATTCATGCTCATAATTTGTGAAGCATTAAGCCCAAACCGTCATCAGAGCCCCAGTCCTTCCCTTTCACTTCACATTGTCACACTAAAGTTAGGGAGTCAGACATTGAGAACATAAACCTTCCAAGGCTGCCCATTAATGGCATCAACAAATGAAGAAACAGCAAAAGCAAATAAGTAGGTATATGCATGGGTTATAAGGGAAAACTCTAAAGGACCGAACACATCCAGAGAAGATGGAGGCAGGGCGAAAGTCAAAGGGAAGTAGATCAGGGAGAAAGGGATAAAGATGAAAGTTATTTGAGCTCAGAAATTTGTGCTAAGCATTTGGTTGCGATGGGAAGACACTGGGGGGATTTTCACAGGAGAGTGACATTATATGACATGTGCCTTTGGTGAAAAGATTGGAAAATTGGCAACTTTGACTTCATAGTCTACTCCAGTCCTTGAACCCTCCCATTGTATTCCATTCTATCCAATCCCTCTCAGTCTCACTTCTTTTCTTATTCAGGCTGAACGTTCAAGGGTTTTTCATAAGGAGGTAACATATGACATATATTTTAAAAGGGTGAAACAGGTAGAAGCTAAGAGAATTTTTCTTTGTCTTCATAGAACACTCCATCCCTTAACACTCTAATTATATTCCATTCCATCTATTCCCTATTAGCCGAAGTTCTCATATTACACAGCCCAGACTTCATTCTTATTTTACATATTATTTTAATAGTTCAGAAAACTCTTCTGCCCCTCGGCACTTAGTCCTACCTGGAAAAAATCCAACCACAAAACCAATCCACTCCACCCAAGCAGCTGAATCCTAAAGTAAGTATGTTTTCTAAACTTTGTTGATCAACAGAAACTATGTATCGAACTTAGTCTTCCTGGCATTAGAGTTAGCTCCCTTTCTCAACTCTCCTTAAGCTTCCAATTAATCTCACCAGAAAACAATTTCCCTTTTTACCGTAGACAATATTGAGTCCGTCAAGCCTAAATACTATCTTCCTCTCTGGTATGACACTTCAATAACTTCATCTAAATCTGAACATAGGTTTCACCGTCTCCTTCAAGTCTCAAGGGGTATGGTGACCTTCCTCTAGTTCAAAGCTAATAGCTCTTTTGGCACTTTTTAAAGTATCCTCTGTAATCGCTCCTTTTTAATGATGTTTATTGTGGCAAAAGTAATAATGATTTTGATATCTAAAACTGAGCAGCTATGTGCACGGTCATTTATATTTTTCTCTCAGTTAACCTTACAACTATTAATACTACTATTATATCGCTAATAACTATCGTCAACTTAGAAAAAAAAGACGTAACTGCCAAACAAAATGAGAGCATTTATTTGGGGTCTTAGAATTGCAATTCATGGAACACAGTTTTCGGCAGCAGCCAGAAAAGTGTCCCTCATGGATTAAAAGTCAAGGGTTTTCACTAGCAAAAAGGGAAGCCCAGAACAGTTACCTCAGTTGTTTGTTAGGGAGGATAAATTTACGTTACAGTTCATTGGCTTACTCAAGGACATCTTATTGCTACCAGAAAAAGCATATTTTCATACAGTCCTTCAGAAAGTCCTTTTTCAGCAAATAATACCCTTTTGATAATTTGGCAAGGTCAGCACAATCTCATACTTTTAAACAAGATGAAGTCCAGGGTACAAAACAGAGTCATTGTTGTCAACTCGTTTCACACTATTACATTATACCTTGCAAATGAAGAAATTGTAGTAGAAAAAGAATAAGTTGCCCCCAGGAGCACTATTCTATTTGACTAAGATGTGTTTCCTGGTAATTCTTATCATTCTCTTTCGTTAGCTCTTTCTTCTAGGTATTTTGCATAGACTCCTTTCTCCCACACAAACATTGATATTCTCTAGGGCCCTGATCTCAGCCACTTCTTTTCTAACTCTATACATTTTTCCTATATGATCTTATCCACTCTAACCATTTTAACAGCCACATACAATCAGCTGACTAAAATCAGCTCTTAATTCTCTAGATTAAGCTCTCAATTGCTGTCCCCCAATTTAGACATATATACCCAATTAATTTCTGAATGTCTCTATATATTTGCTGGATTCCTAAATTAAAATGTAAGCAATATGAAGGGCAGCGTGTTGGCAGAGTTTTACTTGAATCTCCAGTAGTCAAAACATTATCTAGTATTCAGATGAATTCCATATATTTCAGACGCAATATTTTATTATAGTAAATTAAACTGGAGCATAGCATTTACCCTTTCTCCTGCTGTGATCAGTAAATAATCTTCAAGGGTTTGTCAAAGACTCTCCAGATTCAAGTTTATCTCATTGTTATGGATGGATGGCTAAAGATTTTCCTGTAACTGTAAGAGATTTAAAAACATTGAAGTAGGAAAACTCATTACAAAAGATCTGGCCATGAGTTGCATACTTATGGCAACAATACACAGCAGTATATCTTTGTTGAGTATTTCTCTTATAAACCCCTTGACATTTCCAAAAGCATAGCAGTCAGTAGAAAGGAAAAGGCATTCTATTTCCATTACTATGAAATAACAGGATATGTTCTGGTCCATCAATATTCTAAAGTCACCTACTACTTGTGGAGTATGATATTGTACACAACAAAAGAAGCCTACTCTTGTGCTTATTGCTCATGTCCATGCTTTCCAACTGTCAAACATAAGCCACAGATTTCCTATCCTGTTGCACACAAAGTAATGAACTTAATACCCACGTTTTAGTGTAGCATTCTGAAATAAGGGGTTAATTAAGTTTACATGTAGCTTTTCAACTTCGTCATTCACAAAACCTAATAGATTGGGAGATTTAAATTCCAAAGGCTTTATTTTAATTTTGTCCCCGGATTACTTTTTATTTAGGCTGCATTTCTCACATTCTCTGGGGCCTACAATAGTACTTCAAAACCGTTATTTGAATGACTAAGTGAAGAAAAGTAGGAAGGAAGGAGGGAAACATATCTTCAAGTTCTCTGATTCTTTCCTGGGCTGTGTTGCATCTACTGATGAGCCACTCAAATGCGTTCGTTTTTTTTTTTTTCCTTCTCTTCCCCAGAGCCCCTCAGTACATAGTTGTGTATTTTAGTCGTGGGTCCTTCTAGTTGTGGCATGGGGGACACCAACTCCGCATGGCTTGATAAGTGGCGCTAGGTCCACACCCAGGATCCGAACCAGCGAAACCCTGGGCCACCGAAGCAGAGCATGCACACTTAACCACTCGGCCACAGGGCAAGCCCCCAACCAAATGTGTCCTTTTTCTCTGTTAGTGAACCTGGTTTCTAGTGTTTCCATTTGATTCTTTCTTATAGTTTCCATCTCTGTGCTGAAATTATCCGTGTGATCTTGCATCTTGTATATCTTACCATTAGGATTTTAAATATATTAATCAAAATTATTTAAATTCCCTGTTTGAGAGTTCCAACATCTGTGCAACAACTGACTCTGGTTCTGATAATTGCTTTTTGATCTTCAGACTTTTTTTCCTGCCTTTCAGTATATCTTGTAATATTTTACTGAATGCCAGGCATATGTTATAGTCCAGTAGCTAATAAGGTAAATGTTTTATGCTTGTATATAAGCACTCTTTTCCTTTGTGAGGCCTTTACTGTGGGGGTTTGTGTTAAGCGATTCCACAGGGAGAAAATTACTTACTTGGAAAAGATTCTCTCACTCTTAACCAACTCTACAGCCATTATTGTGATCCCAGACTGTATCACACTAAATCACTTCACATCACTCTGATTATGACTTGGGCACTGCCAGCCAGTACTATGTCTTAACATTATTTCTAATTTGGTGTTACATATAACTAGACATGTTTGGTTGCCAATACTGAATTCACGGGATGGAAGGGCTCTTTCAGGTTTTACTGTTTATTCCTAGTAGGTAATTTATGCCTGTGACACTAATATAGGATGAGACACTACATTGTTATTTAAAAAAATATTTCTGTTATTCCATTAAATTCCACGCTCAACATAAAATGAAATAAAGCATGAGATTCCTTCATCACGCTTTCTAATTGATGCCAAAATTCAGTCAAGTAATGAATATTTGCAAAGTGTATTTAAGAATTAAGTTAAATGTAGTTCCTAGATTTGTCTTCAACAGTCAGATGGGAACGTCCCTGTTTTGATGTTTCTCTGAATGAGGGAGGTAGTGTATAGCCAAATCGGTCAAATTGGTAGGGTTTTTCCTTTTAGATTTGATGCTGATTCATTTCAAAACCAAAGAAGAAACATTAAATCAAGGACTTCTTGTAAACACCCTTGGAGGAAAGGAAGTGAGCCCCATTGTCCAGATCCAGACCAGGGTCTACAGCTATTTGTTTCTATCCTAGCAGCAAGGGATCGTCCCCCACGCTATCCCCCACTCCCAGCCCATATTAAGATGTTCACATTTTTAAAAGATTTTCTCCTGGGTTTCAGTTAGATAAAACTTTAATTGAGTGCCTATAAATGCATGGCATATTTATATTCTCCCTTCGTTTGGAGAGGTTAGTAACACAGGGTGTTGTGTAAATCTAATCCACCACACACCTGAATTCTCACTTCAAGACTACGTGAGAGGAGACTTATCAAAGGAATTTGTTTTTTTCTCTAGGTTCAGACTGGACTCAGGAGTTCACATAAACCCAGTTCTACCCAGTAATTCTCATGTTTTTCTAAAGAACTGAACAGTGAGGTTGAGTAAGGCCCTCTCACTTCAAAGCTATTTGAAGAAAAAAATAACAAGAAGAGAAAAATTATTTGAATGGGACGTGAATGTTTTGTTTCTTCTGGAACATTCTACAGTATAAATCGCAAGTGATACATAGGTAAATGAGAGAGTGAGACACCAAAGAAAAGATTTTTAAATTTAACAAATCTGGTATTTTTTCCAAATCTGAAGTCGTTTTTTTAAGGACCCTAACATTATAATTCTATTATCTTTTGTTAGCTGTTAATTATTCTTATAGGAATAACAACTTTATTTTTATGCCCTTTATGAAGAAGAAATACTTATTCATCATTTATAGAACTGCTAATGCATTACAGCTTCATCAAATCAATAATTGTCATATTAAAACAAAGTCAAATTTAAATTAAAATATGCTTATTGAAGTATCTGTAGTATAATAATAATTTTAGCTGGTATTATTTGAACTACTTATATAGAATTTCTTTTAAAAACACACCAAAAAAGGCAAATGCGCATTTTCTCACATAGCTTCTTTTATCTATATTTATAGTTTGGGGCCATTATATATGATTAAATTGATAGGTTCCCAAAATAATTGTGAGAGTAAGACAGAGATTCTTCTAAATCATTCAATAGCCATAGAATATGACAATTATTAGATAATATGACAATTATTATTATGACACATTAGACAATTGCCATATAATATGCCTGTGAAAATCTGGCTTCAGCCAATTAAATCCTCCTGTTTCAGAAACCCAGATAGGGATAAAAGGAATGATTTTAGAGAGAAGATCAACACATCAGTTAACTTTATATTGTCCATCTTTAGGGCTCTACTATGAGATATAGGCAACTTTAAAACAATTGGACTATATTGAGGAATAAAATAATTTCTTTAGGTATAAATTCATTATATTTTTGTTTCACTAATTGATCATTTTATTTTCTTTTTACAAAAATGTTAAAATATACCATAAGGAAATTTTGGCACTATAAACCATTTTATAAAGATTCATTTGATTGCCTAATTTGTTCCTTTTTCTGTTTGTTCATAAAAGGATTTAAGGCAGCTTGCAAAAATAGGTAAAATGGGATTTTTAAAAAAGAAGTAAATATTTTGGTGAGGAAAAAATAAGACTACGAGAAACAAGATAAAGCCAGAGATGCAGTAAGCATCTCCTGCTGAGCTCCCATGACACCCCGTAGAGTTCTAATACGGGGAAAATATTTGATCTGAAATTCCCGGTAGGCAAAGAACAAAAATAAATGCAAAGCAAAGAAATAAACAATATCTTTGTATCTAAGACATAAAAATATACCAATAGCTCAAGAAAAGTCTAAGTACTGGGACCTGTCAGGAATTTCTCCAGTGATGCTTATAGAGAAACATGATGAGGCACAGATCTTCGTCCCATATATCTTTACAACTCCAAAACAATAGTAAGTTTGTTAGTTTTCATCTTACATTTTCTTTCAATAAAAACCAGGTGTACAATACCAACAAAGAAGGTTTTAGCAAAGACCATTCAATATGTAGTCAAAATCATGTTGAACCGGTAAGCAGTTGATCCAAAATAAAAAACATGTTTTGAGAATGGATGGAGTATATAACTTGCAGGGCTTCCTCCATGAATATAATTTTCCAGCGCAGATTTTGTTATGAATTAGGCAAGAAAGCATACAGTCTCACTAAAAAAATGTGAAAATCTTTCATTTTACTAGCATCTACTTAGCATACAAGTAATACATTCTCACTTCACAAAAAGTTATAGACTACAGAAGATAAAATGAAATTATGGAAAACATTATTGAAAAAGTCATCTACTTAGAAATAAACCATCAAATACTTTAGCTATATTGAACATCTGAATATTCACTTAGCAATAGATCATGAACCTGTTATTATTCTTCTTAATAAAACACTTGTAATTGGGCATTTATAGTTTTTCACATTTTGAGATACTAAATAATGCTATGTGTCATATATATACATATGTTTTGTTAAGAATGGATCTAATTTATGCTTTTGAAGAAAGGTAAAGCCATAAACTTTAAAAATCTACCAACTAAAGATTGGTTTTACATTCTCTGAAGAAAATTGAACTTAATCAAGACACACACTTGAATATATGGCTATCCCACTACCTTTTAGGGATATGAGGGAAAATTGGGATCAAGAATCTAAAGGTACATGCCATAGCACATGGTGGCAACAACTTTAGGACTTGAAATTTTTCTAAGTAGTTGATGCTAATCTCCGCTTGAATCTATAAAAAGAAAATCTCAATAAAGCACCCAAGGAATGGCTACTTTTAAACAATTTTATTTCCTGGTAAATCCTTCAAGACAAATTAATTGCAAAATATATCCCTAGGTAAGTAAATAAGTTATCTTCCACTTAAGTTTAGTTTTAAGCCAATTAATTATTAAAGGACATCTGCCAAAAAGGATAATTTGGGGTTTAGTGTCATTCTTGTTAGGTCATGCATCAGCGGTTAAATAGCAGGACCAAATTTTCTGTGAGGAGTCTTCCTTGTCAAACTAATAAAGCCATGCATCCTTTTGTCTCTCTCCAGAAGAGGCATAACTAGCAAATATCTTGTATATTTTCTGAATCAACCAATTTATGATATTAATATTCATAGGGTCAATAAAAATGAAGCTACTGCTTTGGGCCTGCATCGTGTGTGCTGCTTTTGCAAAAGTGAGTAAAAGGACTTTTAAAATTGTACCAGTAGTATTACCACTAAACAATTGTAGACAGAGATTTGTGTTAACGATATAAGTTGTAATAACATTGATAATGATGCAGTAGAGAGACATATTAATGAGCATGAGGTTTCTTGTGCCAAACTTTTCAAAGAAATTTTAAAAATCAAAATAATGAAGTTGCGTTATCTGAAAATGGATAAACAGCAAGAAGAGGTGAGTTCAGAAATGCAGTGGGCTGGAGGAGGATAAAATTATAGGGAACAGGATCCCATTCAGATAATCTTAATAAAGTTTATGTCTTCAAAATAGAAAGCTGGATTGGGTTTTCTCTGGCAGTGAAGTCGCATTGCTGGAGGTATATATGTAGAGTCACAAGGAATACTTGATGGAGTTAAAGTAAATGAAAATGATGACCTTTGATGTAATATAAATAGGCGAGACTTTAATGTAAGAACTAGCTGGTAGAAAATCTTAATCCTAACCAATGAGTGTGCTAAATATTCTCTTTTGTAAAAAAGAGAAAATTATTACACCTATGTCATAGAATGCTTTTGAAGATTAAAAAGACACAATCATGTAAGTTGCTTAGCAGAGTATCTAGGATATTCTAGGAACTGAAATGATACTTCATATTATTAACAATTATTACAATTATTATCATCCTGTGCAAATTTCAAGGTATTCTATTTCCTGAAATTACCTGAATTAAAATATAATTCTTAAAATAGTAAATGATGAGTTTCCACACTATTTTTTATTCTTATCTTATACGTGGTGCATAATCTGTGGTGAATTCATAAAATATATTGAAGCTTAATTGGGGAACAATTGGATATATAGTCCTGCAAGTGTAAAGAGATGGCAACAGACCACTTACACACACACACATGCAAACAAAACCTGAGAGGTGAAAGAGAACAGCAAAACCAGCTATACGAAGAAGAGCTGACTAATATTTCAGGTGGTAAGATTTACATACGTGTAGAATATTACAAACCAAAGCCATCAGTCAAAGTAAAACTTTCCGAGGCAATTGTCTGGGTCAAAAACATATAACGAGGATAATATTAACAAAGAAATAGTTTATACTAGTGACTCATGTTTCAAAAAAGAAATTAACTATCCTAATAGTAAGGCTGAACACATTCTTCAGTAATACGGAAATCTGGGGACAGGAGTTTTCAAGTAAATAACCATAGTGAAATAACATTTTTCTTTGTTTTAGAAGCGTCTCCACTTCATTGGTGAGGTAAAACTTTTTTTCATTTACATATAAATGTAGTTGTTTTTACCTTAAAGTGTATTTTACGTTTTAAAACTCTGATTTCTTTACAATGCAATTTTTGGACTACTACTGTTGTTAAAATATTAGGGCCATTAATTTCTTCTTATTTGATAGAAAAATGTTTGTGCAGTATGAATATATTTGTATTTAACATATATATCATGAGGTCTTGATTTCCTTCCAAAGAGCAGAAGCATTGAGTAAGCACACTCTCTTAGCAGTGTGATAAAGTTTTTGCTATGCCCAGGTTTACTCCCCATGCTTCTATAAAATTTTATGACAATGTACTAAGTTTACTTGAACAAACTAAGTGATGAATTCAGCAAGTGTTTGCCTCTTTGAAAGACTAGAGAAGAAGAAAGCATGAGCTAGGAACTACTAGCAAGAGCAGTGTGTTCCCAAGAAGTTAGATGACTTTTGGGCAGAAAATACTCATAAAAGTTATCCTTGTGTAGGAGATCAAAGTATTCATTGATTGATATTAGATTTCTTTTAAGTTCTTTGTCATTTTTATATTAAATTCTGATGATACGACTGTGCCAAGAAAATTATACTTGTACCTCTACCTACAAGTATGCAGTAGATAAACCTGACAATCTTGCCAAGAAAGGCAGAGAGATGAGATCTAAACACCAAACACCATTAGATATATGGCAAAGGAGTAGGAAGGTTTTGAAAGTAATTTAAAAAATGAAAAAAGTATGAAATATTATTTTGAATTTCTTATAAGAGTTAAGATTTTAATCATGAGAATCTAGAGCTCTACACTCACAATGCAAATCATTGACACTTGTCTCCGTGAATGCTCTGGAACATATATCACTTGTGAATCATGCATTAGACCTTAGGATGACAAGAGGATCCATCAGCAAACATTTTAACTCAGTAATTAAGGAAAACAACCTTAACTTGGAAACAAATACTACATACAATATTAAATGTCAAGCTGGAAGCTTGACTGTCTGGGAAATGTAGCAACCCAGACAGAAGCAAAGAACCTTGTCTGTTCTTTCCAATACTTAGGATCCCAATATCTAGCACACGGACAGCACATAGTAGGCACTTGTTTTATACTTTTTAAAGTAAATATTTGAATATCCATCAAGAAAAAACTTAAACATCTTAAAGCCACTGAGGAACAATCTACATTTGTTGAGGAGTTATATGCAAAGCATCGTTTAGTCCCTGGGGATTTTTTGATAAATGCAAATCATGATCTAACGTAAATATCTGGTGTACATAAGCAACCAGCCACAAAAACGAATCAAAATATTTGGTTCCCTGTATGTGAAAGTTTATGGATATATATGAATAAAGAATTTAATGATGGAGTAGAAACACTGGAACTAGCAGGGCATTAAAATTGGTCATTGCATATCTACTTTGTAAGGATGTATTTAGAATAACAGGACTTAATCTACATAGTCACAGGAAAACAAGACAAACAATTACATCACTTAAGAAAGAAAATTCCAAGTTACTCAGAGAGTTTTGTCAGTTATAGTCACTCTGAATGTAAGCAGGGATCTGAAGAAAAAGGTTTTTCAGTGGGGTGAAATCAAAACCAACATTGTTTTCTTTGCTGTTTTAGAAATTTCCCTCATCTAGTGAAGAGGTAAAATATATCCATATTTATTTATACTTTAAGATATTGAAATGTATTTTACATTATTAATTTTCTTTTTAAAATAGCATTTTCTATCTAATAATGTTAAATAATTCCGTATGATTATGTTTTTCCTTGAAAAGCTAAGTAATTTAGGAGCATGTTCTCTTTTCTTGCTGTGATGGGCTCACTTAAACATGTGTATATAAGAATAAGGATATTTATATTTATAAAGCCTACAGCATTTTTTTCACACTGATATCCTGACCAGTTTCACTGCCTGCTCATTAGATTAAATGCTTTAAAATGAAATTTAATTATATAAATAAATTTTTATATCATAGAAAAGTATCACTGATAACGAAGGCAGTATTTTCAAACAATTATGAAAACTGAGTCTATGTTCATAAATAGTATCTGCTATTGACAGATTAACTTTGAATACACGTAAAGAAAATAACTCTATCAACTGGTTAGTGTTAACACAAATGTATGATAAGAAAGGTTAAATATAGTTTATTGTATTTTAAAATGATGTTTATGTTAAATAAATTTTGAATTCCTTGGATCAAAGAATCCAGGATCTTGATATGTAAATGAATACATACCAAGTTTGCTCATAAAAACTGACAAATTTATGATAGGAAATAAAACTTCATGCATGTGAGACCAAGAAATGTATTAATTTTCCGTAAATTCTTACATAATTTTGTGAGCTTGGAGCTCGCTGATAGCTTTCCATACATGTAATAGACAAACCTAGAGCAATTGTAGGAAAATATGGAGGTCCTTCTACCAAAAGCAATCATGCGAAATTTAGTAATAAGTGCATTAGTAACATTAGTAGTCTTCTCATTTAAAACACAAACACTAAAGGGAAAATTACATATGAAAAGTCAGAAGTATATATGGCCAAATGATCACCAGAGTAAGTCTAGTTATCATTCATCACCATACATAGCTACAATTCCTTTTTCGTGTGATGAAAACTTTTAAGATCTATTCTCTTAGCAACTTTCAAACATAATACAGTATTACTAGTCAATTATATCTCAAATGAAAAAAAAAAAGCCAGTAATGAGTCATCCACATCCAGTCTGCTTTTTTTCTTAATAACAATATGAGATGCTTAGCCTTGAAGGAGTGGAAGCTTTGATGAAGGGTGGAGAGGAGTTCAGAAGGACCCCTAGAAGAGATACAAAGTAGGGAGTGCTTCAATAGGGCACTTTAGAGACCCAGAGAGCACTGGGGGCATTGGGCTGGGCAGGGGGTGCAGAGAAGGAGGCCTAGACGCATCAATCCTTTACTGTGTGCTCTCTTTCCTTCTATTTTTGTCCTGGCCTAGGCTGGCAGATTGTGCAGTTTATAATACTCCGATTTGCCTCAACACAAAATATTTTCCCCTAAAAAGGGTTTATTCCATTTTCTTAACAAATTATTAGTTCCTATTTCAAAACTTATGGAAGAACATTAACCTTAAGAAAGAGACTTAATTGAAATTCTTTAAAAAAATTTTCTTCCTTCATCATATCGCATCTCAGTCACAACATGAGTTGTAATACATACATGGAATAGACATAAACAATCAACTTTGATTTCTCTGCTTCTCCTTTAGGGTTACAAGGGCAATCGTCACCCACTTAACCCATCTCTGAATATTCCTTATCCCATACCAAACAATGATGTCACTCCTTCTTACTATGCTCCACGGAATAATTTCCCAAATCACCCTTGGACTCCTAACTCTGATACGGGGGTATCCCTGTATCCCTGGATTCGCACTGCTCCTGGAGCCATCAACCGCATTCCTAGTTTTCTCCTACCTACTTGGTTGGCCCCTCCTCCTTCTTCTCCTCCAGGGGCTTCTCCCCATGTCCCTCCCTCAAGTACACCTGTAAGAGCTTTTGGCTCACCTAATGAAGCTGCAGCCAAACTTGAGCCTCTTGCAGCCACACCTCCTGCACCAGAGGTTGTTGCAGTTGACCCTGCTGTGATTGAGCCTGATGAAGTGGAACCTGCTGTAGCCACACTTCCTGCAGCCATATGTGCTCCAGCTTCACCTGCTGCAGCCATACCTCCTGCAGCCTCACTTGCTGCAGCTATACCTCCTGCAGCCTCATCTGCTGCATTTGAGCCTGATGCCCCAGAACCTCAGCTTTCTCCTTTTCCTGATCAGGTAGGTTACCTAAATCTTACTCCTGTAATGAATAAGATCTGTAAGAGAGGGGAAGAAACACAATCTCTCCACGAGCAAACACGGATCAGCTTAAACACTTTGAACAGCTTTGTTAAGATACAGTTGACATCCTACTGAAGTTGACTACATGTACTGAAAGTGTACACTTTGATAAGTTTTGAAGATGTCTACACCTGTGAAACAAATCACCAGGATAATAAATATATCCACCACAACCAAAAAGTTCCTCCTGTTCCTTTGTAATCCACCCCTTCCCTTTCTCCTCTCCCTGATCTATTTTCTGCCAGTACAGATTGGTTAGCATTTTCTAGAATTTTATGTAAGTGGAATCATCTTGTGTCTGGCTTCTTTCATTCAGCACAATTATTTTGAGATTTTTCCATGTAGTTATGTATAACAATAGTTTGGTCTAATATTTTTGGCAGAGTATTATTTCCTTATATGGATATATCATAATTTTTTTACCCATTCATCTATTGATCAATGTTTTAGTTTCCAAATTGGATGCCATTTATTTATTTATTCATTGCATTTCTCCAGTTTAGTGTTAAATAAAAGTGATTAGATGGACCTCCCTGCTTTGTTTCTAATATCGAAGGAAAGCATTGTTTTTCAAATAAATATAATATATATATTATGAGCTTCATTCTAGGATGCCATTAGGTCACTATGCTTTTAAGCTTTATGAAGCAGGAACAGGGAAACATTTTTATCTAAGGCTAATTTTTTCCATCACAGAGATCAAACCATTCTGAGTACTCAGTCACATGCCTTGTGAATTCTGAGTTTTTTTACTTGGTTCGTGGGATCAAAAGCTGTTCCTTGCCCGTTTGAATACCAGATATTGCTCCATTTTGTCCTTTTAGGTGGTTGTTTACCTGGCCTCAGGTAGTATCTTTATACAAATAATCTATGCTCACTTGAAAAATGTGAGGCTAACCTCTTTAGATACTTGTAACTCCTTTGTCCCCCTCTTCCTCTCAGGTGCTTTGCCCTGTGAATTTCAGCTATCTCATCTTCCTGGACTTCCAGCTCCATCTCTCTTCAATAAGGCCTGGAAACTCTCAGGCAGTAAGCTAGGGCAATCAGAGGGTTCATCTCATTGACTTCCTGTCACATAGGGATCACTGTCCTTTGTTGCCTAATGCCTAGATCCTGAGAAAATGTTGTTTCTCATATTTTTGGTGCTTTTTGAAAATTTATTTCAGGCAAGAGGATAAATCCAGTTTCTGTTACTTGTCATGACCTATAGTTCTCTGAACGTTTTAAAAATAACCATTTTTTGAAAAATATTTAAGAAGCGCTTAGTCCCTAATTTTTAGTAGATGTAGCCCAAGCAAGCAGGCTATTTTATAAAAGAGAAAGTGAATTCGAAACCACATAGAAGATACTCTGAACCCTGGATACAGGTTGAAAAAAATGAGGGCTTAAAACCACCAGTAAATAATTTCTGCAGTTCATTGCCATTAATCAGATACTCCTAGTAGTCGTTTTCTAGAAGGAGGTATCAACATTTCTTCCCATTCCCTTGTTCCTGACAGGGATCAGGATCAAGTTAAATGATTGTTTGGAACTGCTCCAGAGAGGTAGAAAGAGCTGATCCCATTCCACAATGCTGCACATATTAACATGTTCCTTCAGTGGGTTTCTTTGACACAAAGCACTTTCCATCTACCAGCATTTACCTGTAGTTCATGGCTCACATGGGGATAGAGGGGAAATGTTAGAAAGTGTGGATAAAAAAAAAATAGGATTGATAAGAAGGGGTCTTGAAAACACTGATGAACACTTAGGACTTCATCCTGTGGTCAAAGGAATTTATTAAGGATCTTCACCGAGAGAAGTCATTTGACCAGTTCTTTGTCTCCTAAAGCTAAATCTGGTGGCAATCGAGAGTATTCTAAACATGAGTTATGAAGAGATCACCAGGACACAACTTCTTAGAGAATAAAGATTATTCAGAAAAGATAGGCCTAATACTATGAAATGAAGTACATTTTATCATTGTGTAAGATCTCTCCTTTTTTTTTTTAGGTAAAGGAATGAAATCTTCTAGAGAGGAGAGTACCATGCATTTGTTTCTGTAAGTCATATAGGATAACAAAATTTAAAAATCACACATTAAATAGACTAAATCTCATCAGCTGAAACTACCTTTGAATATATTTTTCCTACATGAAAGCAAGAAAGTGGGATGTAGGGAGATACTGGTAGTCTGTGTCCCAGAACTTCTGAAAATACGAATTCACGTTCTATGTATTAAACATGGACAGCGTTTGGACAACTAGATAGTTCTTCCTTAAATTAATCCAAATTTATTATGACTTGAATATTCTAAAATAATAGTGGTCAAAAAAAGGAAGAAACTTCCATATGGGGGAGGGGGTTGAATTATGGGTGAGAGGAACCATTGTTAACGTTCTCACAGATCATTCTGTACGCTATCCATTCAGCCACCATCCTTATCCTGTTCTGAGAACCACTGTTTTAGAAAACAAATAAACGAACAATTTAGATGTAAAATTTCTCAGTCCACACCTCCTCCCCTCAACCTTGTTCCCCATCCCCCATTACACACAGTCCTGGGAAGAAAGGCACTCATCAAAAAGCTCAGCTGGACACGTTCCATCTTAGTCATCTAACGAAAAATTTGGTCACTCTCATTCCAAGTCCACATTCCTTCATTCCTTCCCAAAGCTGTTCTAATTTTACTACTATAAATATTCACCAGACAGGAGAATGGCAAGGCTTTATTTGACTGTCAGCCAAATCAGAATTTCTATTGAGGGGACAGCAGTAGTTAAAATAGAATTGAAAAACAGATGTGTGGGCAGTTAGTATTGGTGGCGGTACCTCCGAATAGCAGCTATTACCAAGGAAATTAAAAGGCTTCACGTTTTAGTTAAACTCTATCACCATATTCTTTTGGCTTTTATTTATTTTACTATAATGAAAGATAGAAGGACATTGATTAATGAGTTAGTTCAAGATATTAAATAAATTTACTAATTTCAGTAAACATTAGTATTTAGTTTCTTAATATGTTAATTACTTAATTCACAACAGGTAAAGGAAAGAATGCTACTTTTCTGGAAAAGTCAATTAAGGCAGAGAAAAAATTCTACTTCAAATTATTCAGTATCAGGAGACTATGTTGATTTAAACGTAATACCCACACACAAAAAAATCCTGTATAATATATACATGGATGCAAATAAATTATAACCTTGAATTAACATTGCATTTTTAAATGAATTAATTGTTACAAGAATGCATAATATCTACAAGAAGATAGAAGAAAACAAACTTGATTCTCTTAAATGTGTTTTTTAATTGTAGCATAGATTTGTGGATGATCAATATAGTCCTTTAACATTAAATTCATAAAGCAAGAAAAGAAATTTCGCTGCAAGGACAAGTAATTTGGTAATTTTACTATACAAAACTAATATATTATTTTCCTTTTTCAGGTACTGGTACAGAAATCCGTGAAATCTACAAAAATTTACTTTTCCGAAGACTCTCATTCTGTTATATTAAAAATATCAATCTCATAATATTGGTTCATTATGGTATTTTTTCATTGGACTTTATACAGAAAGGATGTTTATGGTGTATTTTTTCCAATTTAAAATTTTAAAAGGTACCTCCTAACTATAAAAATAATAATTATCAGAGATTTAAATGTATGATGTCAATATGTGCCTTTCTTTTGTATGAATATGGTCTAAAAAAAGCTCACAATACAAATAGCATATTTTTTACCTTTTGTTTCCAAATTATTTCCCCTGAAATTGAAAGAAGGTAGCTGAAAGGGAGAAAACCATCATTCTATGGCTCTCTCTGCATTCCCCATCCCCCAAAATGTTTTATCTACTTTTTAAAACATTCATTTAATATCAACTTATATAGCACTTGCCAATGCTAGGCACTGTTCTAAGTTCTTAACAAATATTAATTTATTAAGCTCTTATAATAACCATATAAGTAGGTATTATTATTACCTCATTTTAAACATTAGGAAACTGAGTAACGGAGAAGATAAATTATTTGCCAAAGATTACACAGCTAGAAAAGTGTCACAGGCAGGATGAGAAAGCGTACTAGGTAAACGTGGAGTTAGAACTTTCTTAGAAATTAGAAGATAAACTAACATGAAGTTAAGCATGATGGCTATATTAATTTCTTCTTGCTGTTGCAACAAGTTACTACAAAGTTGATGGCTTAAAAATTCATTCTCTCACAGGTCTGGAGATCCAAAATCCATTTTACAAGGCTGGAATCCATGCGTCAGCAGGGCCCTGGTTCCTCCGTAGGCTTTGGGGAGCTATGATTCTTCCAGTTTCTTTCTTTGGCTACCACCATTCCTTCTCTTGTGGCTGCATCATTCTAGTCTCCAAGGAATGCATCATCAAATATCTGTATGCCCTGTTCTTTACAAAGGTCTCTCCCCTATGTGTGTTCAAATCTTCCTCTGCCTTCCTCTATAACAATACTTGTGATAATATTTAGGGTCCTCCCAGATAATCCAGGGTAATCTCTCCATTTTAAAATCCTTGACTTAATCATATCTCTCAGGGACCATTTTTGGCCAAATAAGGTAACATTCATAGGTCCAGGGATTAGAACAGAGTTATCTCTTGGGGGAGCCATTTTACACCATACCATGGTGGCAATGGAAAGAATTTAGATGGAATTAGGTATTGGATTGATGAAAGAATAACTCCTTAAATAACTCCTTATTAAATCACCCTACTCAGACATGGGAAGATGGATGGCATTTGTTTGAGCAATGAATGAATTGAATGCTTTGGCAAACTCATAGCTGCATATCTTCAAATATATGAATCCTCATTAGTCAGTTCCTAGTTAAGTCTGTTTGAACCAGAAAATCAGGGGAAAGAAAATGTAAAGGACCGAGATCCTGCAAACAGAGCTTGTCCTGGATGAGGCAGAGAGGAAAGGAACTTAATTAAGAAGCAGTTTAGTATTTCTAAAACTCACCTGGGACTGCTTACAAGTGGAAGGAGAACTGAAGGCAGAAGTGCACCGGAGTCACATCCCTCTGCTGGTGGAAAAGTGGTTACAGAAAGCAACGCACCTGCTACTAGTGCAGCGTCACAGGTTACGAACGGCTGGGAAAATTCAAAAGCTGAGAAAAATATTTTGAAATTTGGTTCTTTGGAATCCAAAAGAACAGACACGTTGACGTCATTACAATTTTGACTTCAGGAAATGGTTGAGAGTGATTCTCCTTCTTCTCAGATAGATTCCATACTCAATGTAGGATCCCATATTTAGTAGCACAAAGAGCAACAAACATGTAATTAAGACCTTTAAGGAGAAGACAGGAACACTAAAAGGATAAAGAAAACCTTGAATAAAAGTTGAATAATAGCAGTGTTTGAGCATGCAAAAATATTCAAAAATTTTGAAATCTCAAGGCCACTCTTTAAAAAGGTCCTATGCATAGGTAAAGTTTACCTATCAAACGAGATATATAGTGCTATAAATGACCATGATCCGAGAAATTTCTGATAATAGCACATATTCATAGTTGTAAATAAAAACAACTAGCAAAAACTAACTACTACGCTATAGAGGTAGCAACATTAATTTTTTGTTTTTCTTATTATTTCTTTATCCTCCAACATGTTAAGTTTTGACAAGCAAAAGCAATATGATAGAGATCAACCTTATACTCAATTCTGGCAATCCTCTAAGAAACTTCCGCTAAAAATGAGAATTTACGGCCTAGGTTGCAGGTGCTGAGTACTAATTTCAATGAATACAATTTTTTATCACTGGTCAGAAGACGACTGTAACTAGTGGGTTTGAGAGAGAGCTAGTTTGACCTGCTCCTGAGCCTTCTAGGAGCAAAAACTGAACTGTTCACCTTCCATGTTATAAAGACATAGAAAGTTGTTTCTTTTAGTATCTTTCCCATCTCAGGGAATTACCACACAAAACTTGGAGTCATCCTTTACCCATCCCCTTCACTCATAAACCACATCCAAGCCGTCAGTATATATTGTCAGCTCTATCTTTGGAATACATGCAGAAGCCAACAAATTCTCACTCTTTCCACTGCTGCCGTCTGGTCAAAACCATTGTCATTTTTCACTTGGATTGCTGCAACAACTTCCTAACTGATGCCTCTGGAAACACCCTTGTCCATCCATTATCTTTCAACCCAAAGTCAGATTGTATCACTTGTCTAACTCTAAAGAGTTGCATGACTTCTGATGTCAGGACAAATACCTAATCTTTACCCTTGATAATGGGACCTCCCAGTACCTCTATGATTTCTAACATTTGTTTATCTTAGGTCTTCTCTCAAGCATTAGTTAAAATAAGCTGATTGCTATAACAGTACCCCCAAATCGCAGCAGCTTAAAAGAATAAATAATTATTTCTCAAGTATACCACAGTGGAAGTTGGATGGTTCTGCAAGGGGTCTTTCCTTCAAATAGTGAATCAAAAATCTGGGTTCCTTTGACTGTATGGCTTTACCATCTCAAAACACTTTGCTTCTTTGTAAGCTGATAGAGGAAAGAGAGAGGGTGAAAGATTTCAAGGAAAGTTCTATGGCCCGGACGGAAAAAAGATTGATCAGTTGTGCCCATATTCCATTATTTAATAGGCAGTCACATGGTCCCAATGTAATAATAAGGGTAGCTGAGAAAAACCAGATTGGTGAATACATAACCTATGTCTCCACGCCTCACCTTGCCAGTTAAAATAAATCCGTTTCACTCTTCTTCCCAAGCATAGAACTCTGTCACTTTCTTGCCAAGTAAGACAAAATTCAGGATTCTAACTTTCCACAACACTGTAATGTGACTCCTCCTGTTCCTCAAAATTGAGCTGAAAAGACAAGTTGTCTGCCCCCATTAACACTCAATGTGAAATGATAAAACTGAGACAGGATAAACAGCCTAAACAACTTCTGTTGAAAACAGTCATCACTGTCCGTAACAATTCTACAATCTCACTGAGCAGACATTGTAAAAACTTGAAGTGAGGAGGTTCCCTGGTCTTTCCGTCTGGAAATAAAGACTGGATCCATTGTTCTCTTCAGTCATACCTAATATGGATTTTTCATCCTTGGTGGCTTTCAAAGCTACCCTCTGCTGTGGAAGACTGGAGGCTCAAGAATTAATTATTTTAAGGGCTGGCCTTTGGCCTAGTGGTTAATTTTGTCATGCTCTGCTTTGGTGACCCAGGTTCAGATTCTGGGTGTGGACCTATACCACTGGTTGGCAGCCATGCCATGGCAATGACCCACATACAAAATAGAGGAAGACTGGCATAAATGTTATCTCAGGGTGAATATTCCACAGCAAAAAAAAAAAAAAAAGAATTAGTTATTTTAAGTCTCAAATGGTCAAAGGATTTTTTTAGTTTGGGCTCCAGGATTCTCTGACAATCTAGTTGAATAAAAAATCTTGTACAAATCTTATCTATTTGCCTCCAGTCAATTACATATGCCAGTAACTACACTGAATGTTCTTTCCTATAATAATTTTCTGTCACTCTGTGCTTCTCTCTCTTAATTTGCTGGTGACTTCAAATGACATTTTTAGGGAAAATATGTGGGAATATGACACCATTAATCTGACTTTTTCCCTCAGTCACTTTAAAACATTTATTTTTAAATGTTATTCAAAGACTTTTAAATCCTATTACTTATTGTTTAGAGTGTGTAAGAAGTCAGCTGTCCAACCCTATGAAGTCCCCATATTCTGTATTCCCTTGAGTCACTTTTATGTCTACTTCTAAACTAGCTAGATCTTTCCCAAATTCATTTTCTTTCTTTTCCTTTTTTTTCTTTTTGGTGAGAAAGATTGGCCCTGGGCTAAAATCTGTTGCCAATCTTCCTTCTTTTTTTCACTTGAAGAAGATTGTCCCTGAGCTAACATCTGTGCTAGTCTTCCGCTATTTTGTATGTGAGATGCCACCACAGCGTGGTTTGATGAGCAATGTGTAAGTCCGCACCCAGGAGCAGAATCCACCAAGCCTGGCCCGCCAAGGTGGAGCACACAAACTTAACCACTATGCCACCTGGCCAGCCCCTCATTTTCTTTCTTGTAATACTTAATCATATGCAGCCGATAACAACTAGCACACATCAGTAAGGTTGTATTTTCCAATTACTTCCTAAGGATTGCTAGTTTACTTGATAGTAGACATGTCTTCTGTTACTTGTGTTACCTCAGGGATTAAATCAGGTGACATGATAAAAGCATCTCCCAATTTAATATCCATTGTTTATTTTTTTTAAAAGTTCTTTTTGGATTGGAAATCCTTGTTTAACTGCTCTGTCCATTTCTCATATTGTTTAAAACCCATAAAGGATCCGGAATAACAACTAATTTAGTGAGCGCTACTAAATACCAACACCAATTACTTTCCAATTTTCTCCATAAAACCTCTAGTTAAAAATTCCTTAGGTACCATTAAGAAAATTCCTAAACTAAATGAATTCACCTGACGTTATAGTCATTTTCCTACTCCTAAAGCCACGTAAGGTAGAATGCTTTAAATAAAGATG